TTGGGGACATCGGGGACCCCCTTGGGGACACTTTGGGGACACCAAGGACCCTCCTGGGGACACTTTGGGGACATCGGGGACCCCCTGGGGACATTGGGGATCCCTTGGGGACACTTTGGGGACACCTTGGGGACACCTTGGGGACATTGGGGACACCTCTGGGGACATCAGGGGCACCTCTGGGGACACTTGGAGACACCTTGGGGACATTTTGGGGACATTGGGGACACTTTGGGGACACCTTGGGGACACCTTTGGGGACACCCTGGGGACACCTGAGGGCATCAGGGACCATCTGGGGACATCAGGAACCCCTTGGGGACCTTGGGGACACTTTGGGGACATTGGGGACACCTTGGGGACATCGGGGACACCTTGGGGACACTCTGGGGACACCTTGGGGACATTGGGGACACCAAGGACCCTCCTGGGGACATTTTGGGGACATCAGGGACCCCTTTGGGGTGGTTGTGGTGGCCTTGGGGACATTGGGGACCCCCTTGGGGACATTTTGGGGGGGGACATTTTGGGGACACCTGAGGGCATCGGGGACCCCTTTGGGGACACCAGGAACCCCTTGGGGACATCGGGGACCCCCTTGGGGACACTTTGGGGACACCAAGGACCCTCCTGGGGACACCTTGGGGACATCAGGGACACCTTTGGGGTGGTTGTGGTGGCCTTGGGGACACCAAGGACCCTTTTGGGGACATCAGGGACCCCCTTGGGGACACCTTGGGGACATCAGGGACCATTCTGGGGACACCAAGGACCCTCCTGGGGACACTTTGGGGACATCAGGGACACCTTTGGGGTGGTTGTGGTGGCCTTGGGGACATCGGGCAGCCCCTTGGGGACATCGGGGTCCCTTTTGGGGACAATTCAGGGACGTTGGGGACCCTTTTGGGGACACTTTGGGGACATCAGGGACCCTTGGGGACACCAAGGACCCTTTGGGGACATCAGGGACCACTTGGGGACATCGAGGACCCCTTTAACGGTACTTTGACCTTAGGCCCCGCCCTCTGAATCCGCAGCCAATCAGCGCTTCCCTGGCGGAGCGCACCAGCCAATAGCAGCGCGGGAGGGGCGGGACTGCCGTTACCATGGGAACCGGCGCGTTTGGTCTCCATAGCAACATGCAAATACACTTCCGGGTTCTCGTTCCCGCCCTCTGCCGCGCTCAGCCAATCGGCGCTCGCGGAGCGCGGCGGGTCAGCCAATGGGAGCGCGGCGAGGGGCCGGGAGCAGCGTTGTCATGGGGATGAGCAAGGGCGGTCGCCATGGCAACGGGGGCGGCCGGGCCTGAGGCGGAAACGGCTGGAAAAGGTAAAAATGAAGGGAATAAACTGGAAAAATGTAAAAAATAACGGAAAATAAGCGAGAAACAGTGAAAATAACGGGAATAAAGCGGGAACAGGTGAAAATAACGGGAATAAAGCGGGAAAAGGTGAAAATAACGGGAATAAAGCGGGATTTGTGCGGGATGGGAGCGACCGGGGTGGGGGTGGCACCTCTGGGGGCGCCGGGGACAGCAGGGACCCCCTTGGGGACCCCGATTTCCCCTTCCAGGACCCCATTGACCCCTCAGGACCCCGATTTCCCCTGCCAGGACCCCATTCCCCCCTCAGGACCCCGATTTCCCCTGCCAGGACCCCACTGACCCCTCAGGACCCCGATTTACCCTTCCAGGACCCCCTCAGGACCCCATTTCCCCTTTAAGGACCCGCTCCCGCTTTAGCCCCGCCCCCGAGCTCTGATTGGTCCGCTCACCAGAGGCGCGGGACCTCATCGTAGCTCCGCCCACCTCTCTCAGCCTCGGCCTCCCATTGGTCAGCGGGGGAGGCGGGACCAGGGAGCCGCCGCCTCTGATTGGCTGAGGCGGGAGCGCGGGAAAACGGCGGCGGGGAGGCTCTCCCGGCGTGCACCGCGCGGGGGAACTGGGAAGTACTGGGATGGACTGGGAGGGACTGGGAGGGACTGGGAGGGAACTGGGAGGGACTGGGATGGACTGGGATGGACTGGGATGGACTGGGAGCGGCTGGGAGGGACTGGGATGGACTGGGATGGACTGGGAGGGACTGGGATGGACTGGGAGCGGCTGGGAG